CCTCTGCTGTCAAAGCTGCTCACAAGATTGTTGCATCTTAACTGGCCGTCCACTCACCAGTTAGTCTCCCTAGTTCCCCATCCCTGCTCAGCCTCACCTCTACAAAAGCACCTCATTCCCCTCTTTAATCTTTCTTCTGAAGTTCAGGGTGCCAGAATTTTCATCTGTGTCTGTTTTATTTGGTCTCTCATATCTTTGTTGCAGAGAAGGGGTGGAGAACCATTTTCTGCCAAACTTTATAACATCATTCACAGGTCATACAAAATAATCAACTTAAAAATATTTGGTCAAACATTTAATTAACTAACTCACCCCTAATGTGATGACTGCAAAGCTATTTGAACTACAAGGTTGGCAGTTCAAGCTCACCAGCTGCTTCTTGGAAACCCTATACAGGGTCACTATGGGTCAGAACCGACTCGACGGCACTTCACAACAACAACAGTATGATGACTGGAGTCCTGGTGTGGTGCTGCAGATAATGTGCTGGACCAAAAGGTCAGTTTGAACCACAGGGTTGGCAATTCAAACCCACCAGCTGCTCCTCGGAAACCCTATACAGAGTAGCTATGGGTTGGAACCAACTTGCCAGCACTTGACAACAACAACAATGTGATGACTGTGCCTGGAATTGCCTCAAAAGGGCCAGTCCAAATGATTTTTTGCGGAACTTACATGGCCCTCAGAGTCCTGGTATAGTACTGTGGATTAATGTGCTGGACTGCAAAGCTGGTTTGAACTGCAAGGTTTGTGGTTCAAGCTCACCAGTTGCTCCTGGGAAACTCTATACAGGATTGCTATAGGTTGGAACCAACTCGATGGCACTTAACAACAACAATATGACCCTTGGGCTGGATGTTCCCCATGCCTATTGTTTGTGTAGTGTATCTGCCTGTCCATCATTTGCCCGACTTTTTTTTTTTTTTTAACTTTTCATTGTGAATTGAGTGAAGGTTTACAAACAAGATTATAAGCTTTACATTCAATACACCAAACATTTGTTTCATCTCAATTATTACATCCCCCCCCCATGCAACAACAGCCATCAGGCTTCCTCTCTATGGTTCCCATTCCACCCACCTTCCCATCCCTTCTCAGCTTTGTCCAGAAGAAAATGTTGCTCTTTTGATTTTTAATTATTGGCCTTTCCATGATGAGCCATCCTCACAACTCTTGTTGTCCCATCAATAAACCTATCCAGTGCTTGGGTGAAAATTGAGCCTCAAGGGTGAGTTCCATTCCAGACCTAAAGGGTGGTTGAGGGTCATAGTCTCAGGTTCCTCCCGTCTCTTTCTGACCAGTAAACCTGGTCTTCTTTTTTTTTTAATGCAATAATTTTGAGCCTTATTCCACATTTTCTCCCTCTCTGTCTGGGACCTTCTAATGTGCTCCCTACCAGGACAGTTGGTAGTTGTAGCCAGGTTGTCCAACATTTTGTTAGTATTTTTATCTAACTTGTTTTAAATTTTTATCCCAAAATTAAACAAGCAAAAAACAATGTTTATAAAAGACAATGTAGTAATAAACATAACTTTTATTAAAAATTAGTCAAGGGAATTATAATACACACAACATTTCTCATTTTCCAAGGATAAAATATAATTTATTGTGCCATTGCAGATTCTATAAATGATTTTATTGAAAGCTATTTTTAGATTAAAATTTAAAAAGGTTCAATAAGGACATATTTAGCTAATAGAAAGGTGAGAAGTGCCAAAATATGTTGCTCAATTACTCTAAATGTCTACACTGCCACATCCTGCCTGTTCTCATAAATACTTTTTCTGAGTCTTATTTCTCAGAAAAAAATGTTGATAATGTGTAGATTGGAGAGTCCTATAGCAATAGTCAATGAGCCCTCGTGACAATGGGCTACATATTAGACTGTTAACCACAAGGTCAACAATTTGAATCCACCAACCACTCCAAGGTAGAAAGGGGAAGCTTTTTATTCTACTAAGTATTTACAGCTTCGGAAACTCCTACGTGGTATCACTATGAGTCAGAATCCACTTGACCACAGTGGGCTTATAGCAATATTCAGTATTCATGTTTTATATAGTCATCTAAGAAGTTCTATCTTTGGTTTTTTCTATATAAGAAGAGACATCTCATTGACCTTTTGTTTAGATATCCAAAGAAAACCATAAAACAAAATTATTTGACTCAGGTGTTTCTATAATTGTGACATGTTAGTGAACCACTGTTTTGTTATAAATGTTAATATGTAAATTTATAT